AGGAGCAAGGACACTACTAGGGGCTCCCTAGGAGCAAGGACTGGCCTTACTACTAGGGGCTCCTGGCCTTACTACTAGGGGCAAGGACGCTACTAGGGGCTCCTGGCCTGCTGGGAGCAAGGACGCTACTAGGGGCTCCTGGCCTTACTACTAGGAGCAAGGACGATAGTAGGGGCTCTACTAGGGGCTCCTGGCCATTCCGCTAGGAGCAAGGACGCTACTAGGGGCTCCTGGCCTTACTACTAGGAGCAAGGATGCTACTAGGGGCTCCTGGCCTTACTACTAGGAGCAAGGACGCTACTAGGGGCTCCTGGCCTTACTACTAGGAGCAAGGACGCTACTAGGGGCCCCTGGCCTTACTACTACGAGTAAGGACGCTACTAGGGGCTCCTGCCCTACTACGGACGCTACTAGGGGCTCCTGGCCTTACTACTAGGAGCAAGGACGCTACTAGGGGCTTTTAGGAGCAAGGACGCTACTAGGCGCCCCTGCCCTTACTATTAGGAGCAAAAACGCTACTAGGGGCCCCTGGCCTTACTACTAGGAGCAAGGACGCTACTAGGGTCTTTTAGGAGCAAGGACGCTACTAGGCGCCCCTGCCCTTACTATTAGGAGCAAGGACGCTACTAGGGGCCCCTGGCCTTACTGCTAGGAGCAAGGACGCTTCGGGGTTCCGAAGGTCTGAAGGGCAGTCGGGTTTGTCCTGAGCTGGTTGCGGTAGGGGAAGCGCACATGTGAAGTACGAAGCATCGAAATCAAGTAGGAAACATGATCCATCGAAATGGGTTGCAAGGTTACTAGCGATGGCCTTCAACCTGCAATATGAAATATGTAGCAATGGCCTCCAACCCAGTGGAATTTAAAAGGGTCTTGAAAGGACTACTGTGACATACTGTGTGACTACTGATCAGCTGTCACAGCTTTCACCACTTCGGCAATGCAATCCCCTATCTTCTAGTCTGTCTAATACGCGAAATCGCGAAATCCCTATCATTCCCAAATAGATTGTCTTCAAGTTTCGTGGTCAGCATCCTTGTCCTCTGGAAAGGGACACTGCCGTGGAACGCTGACGTGTTCACACGTCGTTCCGCCGCAATGGGTTCCTGTCTTGGCGAGTCCGCCAGGAGGCGCGAGCCTCGGAGTTCATGCAGCGCAAGGCTGGAAACGGGGAACATGTTTAGAGGCTGGAAAGAGGGCGTGCCTCAAAATTCAAGGCCCCAGATACACACAGATACCAGAATCATGACTCATCATGATAGGATTTCCCATCGCATGTTCTTGATGGTGAGTTTGGGTATGGTTTTGACCCACAAGCAGATGTGCATCAAATGTGAAAGAATCAACCCCAAACCATAGAGAGACATTACTTTCTTGTGAAAGCACAAAACTTTGCAGATCTGGCGACCAAATCCTCACCTTGGACTCATTGGACGGGACCCATGCCCTTGCAGAAGCCCTGGTTTTGATATGAGGATTGGAGAACATCTACAGCTACGGAAACCATGATTAAGGTCAGCCAGACTGGAATCGCCTGTATTCCTGGCCATGACTCCATCAGCATCCCCAATCGGTGTTCCGAAGGAAAACCAGACGATTTGGTCCATGGGCGGGTCTGTCAGCGGGCGTGGGTCAGCTGGAGCTCAGCCGGAGGTGAAGCTTGAGGAGGTCGAGGCGACAGTGAGGCGGAAGTTGCAGGAGTTCTGATTGCAGATTGGTGCATTCGGAGTTGAAGCATGATTGTTGGGCTGGAGGACATGACCAATCAACCTCTGGGCCTGAAATCTGGCAGCCACAAAGACACCTGGTCACCCCAAACGACGATTACATCCAGACAAAGTACGCAGCATTTTGGCCACGGTTAAAACCATGGCATCATTCTGAATGAAGCTTGAAGCGCTGAATTTGACATTCCTGCGACGGACTCGTTCTACACTGACTGACTGACGGACTGACTGAGTGAGTGAGTGAGTGAATGACTGAATAAGATGGATGGAGGGTTGCTTGTGGGATGACTCAAGAGAATTCAAAAGAGGTGTTTTGGCCGTGGGTCCAACTGCCAGGTAAAAATGGAAACAGCTAGAGATGAGATATTATGCCAGAGGTGGAGCTCTACCTACATTTGACCCAAGCTCATTGTTGTAGGGCACTCGGTTATCCAGGTAGACCTGAGCTTACCAGGGTGTGCATAAGAATAGGGAGACCTCCCAGTTTGACTCCAAAGAAGGAACATAGACCCAAACAATCCCAAACATATTGGTTGGAAATCGCCTTATTCAAACACACGACAGTTTGCATCGGTGCCGGCCCAGTGTTCTGCGAACCCGGTGATTCACTGCTTGGGTGCCCCATCCAACGAGGACCTGCAAGAACGGGAGATGGCCGTTGTCGCCGAGGAAACCCGAGCCGGGCACACCCAGAGGTCAGATGACTGATGGCTGGTCCGAACTCGTGAGCTTCTGGTGCGCTCCATCCATTCTTGGCTGGGTGCGAAGCAAAAGACATACCACGACACGGCTTGCTTGTTTCCTTCACCAAATGGTCACCTTGACCATCCTTGACCCATGGACAGGCTTTTCGAGACCAGTCCAGCTTTTCTGAGGTAGCGACCCTGCAAGAAGAAGTGAAGCGGCGCATGGGAATGGTCCGGATCCCCTGGAGCGAAGCCAGGGGAAGTCAACGGCGATCCAAAAGCTTTTTGTTCTAAAGCGAAGAAAAGCAAACTGAAAAACCAGGAGAGAAAGACAAAACACGGCGATGGCCTTCAACCACTGGCGATGGTCTCCAGCCTACTGGCGATGGCCTCCAACCTAGCTTGATTTCCTGTCTCCAAAACGGGTTTGGCCGCCATTTGGCACAGTTTGTACTCAATCATGGCCTGGCAGCCTTCAACGTGCACGCAAAGCTGATGGCAGCTGGGCATTTTCCACTGTCCTTCCCTTCTTGACTGCCCAGGCCGTCGCGGAGCATGAAGATGCGTCCAAGCCAGGGGCTAAGACTTGATGGATCCAACCCATTGACATCGATGAGTCTGAATGGGTCCGAATGGGTCCTGGACGGACAAGTCCAAACGTCGACTCGCTGATACGGAAAGAATTCCCGACCAATCAGACAGCCCCGTGGGGGGTCTTTGAGTTGCTTGCAGAAGAAAGGTTCCAATGGGCTTCTTCCGCAATGGCCTCACATTCACAGCGTGGAGATAGAGAACACACGAAAAAGGAACCCGTTAGAGTCGCTGCAGGGTTGTTGTGCCTGTGTGATTGGGGCGCTGGGGGCCCTGACAACCCTTCAACTTGCCTTCGAGACGTCGACTGAGGCGTCAGGCAATGGAAGCGCAACACAGTCAGAGCCCAGTTCGGTCATTTTGGAGCAACGGTTTGCTTCCGGACTGAGCAACACCACCCAGTCGTAACGTCAGCCAGTATCAGTCCTTGATCAGTCACGCACATCACGCCATGGGCACGATGCCACCGGGCCGGACCAAAGGCCTTGAGCTGGCACGGCAGAAGAGCCAGTTCTTGGACGAGCAGCGGAAGCAGCTGGAGGCACCGCATGCACGGCAGGGAGGCTTTGCACTATTCTCAGGGGAGGCGCCTTCCAAAACCGTCCAAGGTTTTATCAAGAACGATAAGATAAAAGCAGACCATGATTTTTCTGCAAACCTTCCAAGTGCACATGACGCCCTTCTTCCAGGTGCAACTGGAAGGTGATCAAGCGAAGCTGAAAGCGTTGCAGTTGGAGCAACTGGAGCAGCGAAGGGCAGCGGCACAGGCCCAGTCGTTTTGCCGAAATGCTCAGCCTGATGGCCGCTCTCAGCACGATAAGTATTCTGGTTGATGTAAAGTGCAGGGATCATTTTGGAAAGAATTACTGTAGAAATCTGTAGAAAAAGCACCTCACAGAATACTGTAAGTGTTTGTGTACTTTTGACACGACCGGTAGGGGTATGTAGGGGTATTTCGTTATCCACCTTTGGACCACTACTTGGAACTGTATTGGAGGTCAATCGGTGACCCCATTGTGGTCGCCAAGGGAAGAGCCATGGCGCCGCTGCGTCGACTCGATGGAGCTGGGGCACTTGCTCCTAGTAGCGATGCCAGGAGCCCCTAGTAGCTTCTTGTTCCTAGTAGTAAGGCCAGGAGCCCCTAATTTTTAATAGCGCCCTGGCCCTGGGCACCCTGGTAGTCGACTAAATTCAAGATGTCTTTAGGTGATCCAAAAAGGCATGTCCTTTACTCCAGTGGTGCAAGACATAGTCTTTGGACTTCTAGGGAGTGGCCTTGAAAGACCATAAAAGTCTGGCAAGAAACAGATTTGATTTGTTTGTAGGGAGAACGCACCATGAGGGACTCCCCGGCGATGGGACTTTTGCATACTTTTGCACCGAAACTGCCTCCCGTCACGCCCAGCCAGGCTGCCAGGGGTCCTTCAACGGAACTCAAAGAGGACCGGGATGTGACAGAGATCGCTGATGCTTTGGACACCGCTTTGCGATGGACTCTGAACACCGACCGAGCGTGAGACCCTGTGGGAGTCACCGGGCACGGGAAAGCAGTGCTGGGAAGAAAGTTGCTTGTCAACTCCAGGTAGTTGCCAATCCGGTATATCATATCATTGAATAAAAGAACAGAAGCAAGGGGCTGGTGCGAAAGCGAGCTTCATGTGGAAGTCATTGGATCCACCAGGTTTCAGAGTCGGCTCGAAAAGACTCTCCGTCTTCACAGCAATAGATCCGAACTCTGTGAACAATGCTGCCAACAAAAGCAGGAGTTGCAGGCAACGCGCCTGTATCTGGGCCAAATTTTGAAAGTCAGATGCTGCTCAAAAGCTAGTATGCAGCATGAGGATTTGGCCAAGAAATTGGTTTGCCATGGCAATTCATCAGTAGATCATGCGATTATAGGCCGTGGGCTCAGACGCATCAAATTGTTCAAGTGCTAGATCTCTTAAAGATCTCTCAAGACATAGTCTTAGAACTTAGAACACAGTTTGGACTTGTTTTGCTTATTTGGAGGTTCAAAGTGCATGGGTTGGAACATCATCAACCGTCATCAACCCATGTTTCCAGTGCAGACTTTCAACATCCCTGAATGTCCACATCTACATACATCTACCATTGGAACAAGGCTGATATCCATCTAGAATGTCCTAGGAGTCCTATCTACAGTAAGTTCTAAGTGAGCTGTTCACGATGCCCTGAGTCAGTGTGTAGGATCCTGATGTTCTATGTGACCTTGACCATGATGTTCTACGCTTGATTCTCTGAGTAAAGGGTCTCAGGTTTTTGGAAGAACACACTGTTTTGAGGGTTCATCCGCGAGTAGCACCAGCAGCCCGGAGTGCTGGCACATGTGAAATTCAACTTGGGATCAGCGCTTATCTTGAACCTCAACACCCATGTCTCTGTGAGTAGAAAAGGACGTTGGAGGCATCACATGGTGATGCTTCAACAACAGGTGACAACAAGGGAATAACAGGAGCATTTGTCAGAAAATGTCAGAAAGTGTGTTGGACGGCAGAGCTCCCAAGCCGTACTTTAGTTCACGGATCCTCATCATCAAACACCAGTGTTATGTTACATGGAAATATATGATACAGTTGGTACGGTATCAAGTAGGTTGTGTGGAAATGTTTGGTAATGTTGGACGCTGATTAGTAAATAGGTCCTCTATAATGCTAAAAGTTTCCAAACTTATTCAGACTCCCATGTTTGAAACATGGTTCCTGAATACTGCTAAAAGAAAGTTTGGGCCCTAAATTTTTAAATTGGACACCCAATTAATAAGGGTTTGAATTCCTTCTGAACCCTGTCCACCTGCACTCCCCCCTCCCTTCCCAGGCAAGCAGCCAGCAGCAAAGCAAACCACAGACAAACAGGCCACCAACAAGATGTTAACTATTTAATTACAACCCTAGTCCTTGGCTGAGGAAAGCCTGCTTCTTGGCCTGAGCTGCTTCCTTGTGCAGGTGGTGTTTGAGGCACTTGTAGGGGTCACAGGCCAAGCAACCAGACTGCCACCTGCACTTAGCACACCTGCCCAGTGCAGCTTCTAAGGCTAAGAGAGACTTAGTAGCAGACTCAGACAAATTCTTCCATGTGAAGGTGACTGAGTTCTTATCCACCAGCTCCTGAGCAGCCAAGTAGGCTGCAGAGGTGACACTCTTGATGGTCTTGAGCTTGCTCTGAGCCTTGTCCAGGGTCTCTTTCACCTGAGCTTGCTGCTTGGAGAGCTTGTTTTGCTCTTGCTTTACTGCCTCAGTCAAAGCCTCAGCCTCTGAGGCTAGCTTGCCACAAGCTTTGTTGAGCCTTTCCTTCCATGCTTTCCAACCTGCCTCAGGCCAAACTGACAGCCATTCACCCTTCAAGGGTCTGAGCTCACTCTCCATGTAGTGGAGCACATAGCAGCCACAGGCATTGGAGCCAATGGGCTGCTTGGCCACATTCTTGGGAGGTGGCAGCTCAAACTGAGGATCCAGCAGCTTCCCCATTCTCAGCTGGACAGGGTGGGACTCAGCATGTTCTTGGCTGAGGCTGTCATACCTTGTCCATGCTATGGGGTGCTGAGGGCCTTCGCGCTTAGCCACCAGCAGGGTCCAGTGGAAGGATGCATAGATGGGGACTAAGAGAACCTTGGTGGACTCAAGCCAGCAGCTCTGAACGCCAGCCTCTGAGCTGATAGGGGTCATCCTGATCATTCAAAAGCTTGCTGAGGGATCAACACAGTGGATCCCCAACTCCTCACAGCTTGGCAAGTTGCTCTTGCTCAGCATCCACCTCAGCAGAACCCAGCCCAACCCGGCCAAGGCAACTGAGCACAAAGCCTCAGCTTGTGTATTGGTGACCACTTCACCCACCCACCACTGACATGCACTTAGTCTAAAGCAAAAATAAAACTATATAACTAATACCCAGTTTTTCAATAAGAGTGAGAGGAACACATCATTGTAATACTGAGCAATCGCGCACGCTGGCCAGCCATTCACCCCTGAGCAATGCCTGCCTTAGTTTCCATGGCCCTGAACACAAAAAACTTTGCCACTACCTTACCAAATCAAACTAACCCAAACAGGAAAGCAAAAGAATCAGATTCAACCAGAAGAGGTGCAGCCAGCCTGCCATGGAATCCTGCTCAGAAGCAGCCTATGCCCATTGGGGCAGTACATGTCAGGCTCCTGAGGCAACCTCCTGTAGTTGATGATGGTCTCCTGAGATTCTTGCCTAATGGCATTCCCCCTGAGAAGCTGAGAAAAGCAACAAGGGGATTGAGCAAACCAAACCCACCACTTGATTAAGCACAACCAAGCAACAGGAGAGGTCTGAGAACCAAAAAGGTCCCTCACGTGGACTTCATCTGAGGAGGAAGCCATGGAAGCTGAGGAAGAAGCTGAAAGCTTGGGGCTTCTCTTGAGCTGAAGATCTGAGGCTGCAAAGCAAAAGGATTGCTGAGAACAATTACAAAGCACCTGAGAAAGGAAGCTGAATACAATCTATGAAAGGAAAATGAATACTACAATCAATTACAAAAAGGAATTCTCACAGGAATCCAGATTTGTTTTGGTGATAGTTTATTATGGAGGGTCTCCTCTTTGTTAGAAGGGGGGGGCCTATTTACTAATCAGGATCCAACATTACACGTGTAGCTGCTGGATTTTTATCTATGGCCATGCCATTTATTCCATCCAAGGCAGCTGAGGGAGCAACAGCTTCGAAACGAGGCTCCGGGGCCCCTTGCGGACTCCTTGCAGACTCCCTGCGGGTTCCGAGATTGTTTACTTGATGTGTGAACAACCATGTAACATCAGAGAGCCAATTGTAGTGTATGTTCTTCTTCTTTCTGAACACACCACTGTGGTAGAGGTAAATGGAGCCGAGACATCAAAGTACTTAAAGTACCTTCTGCTTGGGCATGTCTTCTCCGAACTGCAACTCAGAACCAAGGGTTCGACACCAGCCTCCGAATTTCCATTTTGGGGGAGATCAAACTGCCTGGTCGCCCGGCTTGGAGAAGACTCTCGCTTCTGCTCTCCAGGCAATAGCAGCTTCTCGAGATCACTTCAAAGAGAAGGTGGGGGAGGATTGTGGGCAAAAAGGCACACATTGAGGGAGAAGACAAAGTATGTAGGGGATCAACGACACGTAGATAAAGACGTTAGAGTTTGAAGGGCCAAATCTTGAAGATAAAGACCTCGCACTTTGCACTGCTGGAGGTGATCACAAATGGTAAGCTAACATCCCCAGTTTGGACGTCATCATATTGCCATGACTCGATTCGCTTATCTTTGCTACGATTAGCCGCAGGTGGAAGAACTTTGTGGACGGCTCATGGCAACAGCAAGACCCTTGGAGGCTGCATGAGCCGTGCTCACATGACTCACATGTGCTCACAAGTTTTTTTCATACTGTACCTTATAGTTATATTATTCAAAATCTATATTCACTAAGACTACGTTTGTACTCCCACGCTCTAAATGAGACACGGCAATACCAAGTCGGGCTTGCGGCTTGCCAAATGGTCAAGAGAATTCTCTTTACTTTTTCACTTGGCTGACATCTTCCCAGTCTACACCTCTGTTGAAGATGTGCCTCACTTTTTTTGTCTCGTGTTCCATTGATGCATGGAGAGAACCGTCCACCTTGCGCTGCTTTCCGTTCGCATCGAACGTGCCACGACAGGTTCCGACTCCTTTAGCTGCTCTGAGCAGGAGTGAGCTCAGTGAAGGAGCTCAGGGACGGACCAGGTCATGTCCCGGGCGAGCTCTGTGTCATGGAAACTCCCCTCCTCAAGAAGTGATTTTGGAAATAGATGAGTTGACCATAGTGAACCCCAAAGTGTGAGAGATCTCACTAGTTGCAGGATGTTGCAGGGAATAGATGAGCTCAGTTCATGTCAAGACCCCTTGGATGGAGCACGGCCGAGCAGGACACACAAATGACACAATGAGATCGAACAACCTTCCAGGTGGTCCAGGTGTGACAAAAACATTCGAGAAGCAAGTCTTTGTGCCTGGAAGTACGTGACATGCAGCGGTTTTTGCCTGTCTCTTTCAGACCTCCCAGTTCGACCTTTTGGAAGGTTCGGGAAATAGACCAGTCTAGCCATTGGCCAGGGGGTCTCCCCAGTAAAAATCACACCCAATATATCAATTCAATAGTTATATCAACGTAAAGCAAGTTCCTTGAGCACTCCGAAAGAATTGGGGAAAACAGATAGACACATACTACATAGTCGTAGCATGTGGGAGCCGCCATGCTTGCTTTTAAGTCTCCAGAAGTTGAGTCTATTGGTCTATTAGTTCAGCTTGGAACATGCAGATGGACTAATGGCATGCAGACGAGAATCCAACGAGAGCGATGTTCCCAGGTAGCAACCCTCTCGACCTCACAGCGGCGCTGCGTCAGGCGCTGCGCGTACCAAGCTGGAAGTATAAAGTCGAGGATTTTTGGAGTATACTTGTTACTAGTAGCGATGCACTTGTTTTTACTAGCGTCCTTGTTACTACTAGTAAGGCCAGGAGCCCCCAGTAGCTTCTTGCTCCTAGTAGTAAGGCACTTGTTACTACCAGGAAACCAAAGGAAGCACTTTCCCACTACGGCATGTCGGTTTGAGGAATTGACATGTTGAAAGACCCCTAACACCACCGGAACACGTTGCCAGCTGCACATGCGTGCGGGAACCCTGCGCGGGTTAATGCATTTTCACCTGGAAGGTTCAGGAAGACTTGGCCAAATTGGCGTCGACCCGACGCATGTTGCCGAGTGGCCGACGGGAGGACTGGTGGATCCAAGTCTTGAACGAGTCTCCTCTGAAAAAGTGGTGATGGCATCTATAGGAACGGCAGTTTCCTTCTTTATTCTGAAGACCCTAGACTTATAAGACCATATTTGTCGTTCTTTTTGCCGTTACCCGCTTTCGTTTTTGGTTTTCGGAGATGCACTGGGATCATTACACATCTGAGTCTGAACTCTAAAAGAGGCACCGCCGACGAGACTTTCAAGGGTTCGGTTGGAATCCAAGAACAGAATACCCAAGTTCGATAAGGTTTCTATACCATGCTTCCACATAAAAATCAGCATACTATACATCACGTTCTTTTACAACTACAGCATATTCACAAGGGTTTGGACAGATTGACCTCCGGCGTTGCGCCAGTGACACCTGGACTGAGACGCCAAAGAGAACGCCCACCGACCATGTGTGTGGAAGCCTAGACAGGCGACCGTACTACTTTAAAGGCACTGCGAATCCAGTGTGACTTGTGCGTGAAAGACTCGAACATCTTATATAATGAGTCCTGAAGAAATTCGAGGAAGGAAGCCCTGCAAGTTCCTACTGTATGAGCTTATGACTCTTGGACTCTTGGGTTATTTGCGGCACAATCGTGATGTTCTACATGCCTCAAGTTTATTTTCTTCAAAGGCAGATAATATTGTAGTTCCAGGGCGGTTGATCAAGTGGATGCCCACAATCAGTGTCAGTCAGATCAGGACACTACAGTGGTCGGTGTTGATCTCTCAACCAATGGCGGCTGACCCGGCGAGGCCAGTGATTAGCCCCTGTATTAGAATATCCGTAGATTGATATTGGGGGAGCTGGGTGTGATGTAGGATCTTGGTCCCGTGAAACATGAGACTCCGTGTAGCAGCCGTTTACATAACTCCGTGTAGCTGCATGTATCGCGTGACTTCGAGCAGCGGGTTTAAAGGATTCCACTGTGCGGGGTCAACATGAGGCCAGATCCGTTGAGTTCTACACAACGGCAACGACCGCAGAGAGTTCGAAGTGAGGAGGACACCGTGGGCTGTGGTTGGACTATCTCACGGAATGCGTTGCCAGTGTAACAGCCAAATTCAGGACATGCCTGTCCCTGTGCTTCGAAGTGACAAAGAGTGTTGGACAAAATTTGGCATCCTTCTGAACAAATAACGGGTCTTAGCGTTGGATTTAGTTGTAAATAAATGATCTTCATGTCCCGTTCGGCAGCTTTCGGCGATAGCCGGAGCTTGCAGTCAAGCCAGCGTCATCCTCCAGTTGTGACAAATAGCTTCTGGTCTTTTGACATGGCAACTCAGATAATATCCACAGTTCAGGGACGTCTTATGTAAGGCTCACCCAGTGGAAGGAACAAGAATCAGCGTGCTTGATGGTGGATGTTGAGACATGCTCCAACTGATTCTACGCCGCTACAACACTAGGACTAGGACAAAGATTGTTCTTCTTGAAGGCTCCAAATTGACAACCCTTTTGCCACACAATCCTGCAAGATCCTTATGTCATCTCACACGGTCCAATCTTTCCTCCAAAAGCGACCGTCCCACACTGGCCACGTGAAATGGACTTCTTACGACCGCGGCTGATCCACATTGTATGAGCCGGAAAGAAGAACACACACTCTTCCTGAAGGCGCACACCAAAATGCCGACCCCGACGACAAAGGAGCCCAAAGACACTGAGCGACACCTGGCAGAGACCCTAGGGACGCTACGGGGATCACACCAACCGACAAGGATGAAAAGGGTCTCAAGAGTGGTGGCTGTGGGCTTTAAAACCACAGAATAGCGGAGATGTGAATGACTCTATCTTTTTCTCCTTAGTCTTTCGGGATGTTTTCAATGTGGCTATGGATCTTTGAAGAACCAGGGAGTCACACTTTGGGCTGCCTGTCCCACCCGTGCTTGTGACTTAACTGTGTGGTTGACTTGGGGCATTTGTCGAAACCGTGCTTGGATAGGATATCGGTCGTCCAGGATTCATGTACCGTATCCATCCGGATATCCAAAGACGATGACCCCTTTTGCGGTCTAGTTTGGATTAGTTTGGACTGTGTTTGAATTCTAAGAACATGCGCTTCATTTGCCAAGGCTTGGTTGCGGAGTCAACGCCATGAGCTTCTTGATAGCGGACTCTATGGGAGTGCCTCGGCAAGACGCAGGGGTGCGCCGTGCCGCGTGCTGTCCCGGCAAGGCCTAGAGGTGTAGAAGCAGAAGGTCTAGAAATCTAGACGGATTGGGCTCGAGAGAGAGAGAGAGGGGTGATGGTGGTGATGATGGTGGTGACGGTGGCGGTGGCGTCGGCGGCAGCGGTGGTGGTGATGGTGGTGGTGGGTGGGGGGGTGGGCGGGTGGGGGGGTGGGGGGGTTGGTGGGGTGATGGTGATGATGATGGTGATGGTGGTGGTGATGGTGATTGTGGTTGTGGTAGTGCGCTTGCCACGAAATCTGCACTTTATATGACTATAATTGACAAAGGGCTGCGTTGGTCACGACATCTGCACTTCAAGATCCACAAAATCAAATGCTGCGCCTGCCACGAAATCTGCGCATCAAGGTTCGCACCGCCTAGCCCTGCCAAGGCGTTTCGGAGCAAGAGCACTTCCAAAGACTACATGAAGCTGCCAAAACGCAGCTTTCGCTCAAGGCGTCCGCCGATTATTGAAAACCAGCCACATGTCCAAAGGTCACGATTCACCGCACCTGCCACGTAATCAGAGCACACCGAAGACCACCACTATGTCCAAAGTACTGCGCCTGCCGCAAAATCTGCACATCGGCGTAAAGAAGTGACCACCAAGTCACCAAGTCCGAAAGCGTGCACAGACAGGACCACAACGCGGGCCCCATCGAGCCTGGGCAGTCGATAACGTTTTGAAAGTTTCGAGGTGAATGAATGTACTGTAAATAGGAGTCATTTAGCCACACACCTCCGATCACACACCTGGCCTTAACTCTTACTGTAAGAACCCCTAGTGTGGTCACACTGTTTGTGGATAAAAAGGACCCGTATGATCTCGCACCTGTTGTTGTTTTATAAAAAACTTCACTTGGAGCCAATTTTAAGTCTATATATCTGAAAACGAGATCCCTCGAGATTTCATCCCACACGAACCACTTCAATCCCGGAGCTTTCACCAAAGATTGATATCAGGTGGTGACCGAGTTCTCATGGCGCTGGACATCAAGATCGCTCAGGTGGGACGATCTGTGCGGATGTCACTCCGTGGTACGGCAAATGCCTACATCCTCGGAAACAGTTGTTGGAGATGTTGGTGGGGTGGAGGTTTGAGGAAATTTTGGTGTTGAACAAATTATTTGCTTAGGATACTTTATTCTTGACTTTTGCCATGTGTTGCCAGCACGAATGCCGCATCGCCATAGCCTGGCATACAGCTCTATTGTGAAAGTGGCGAGGGTTGCAAAGAGGGCAGTTGCTTTCCACCAGATCTACCATATAGAATCGACACAGAAATGAATATAAGTATGAATATATCAATATAACAACCAAACAGATCTTGCAATGAAGGTATCCTAAGTTCATGATTTCTCTGGCCCTTTGATCACCAAAGCAGCAAAATGAGTGCCCCATCGAAGCCTCCGGGACACTCCTCCCGAATCACGGCCATGGAGGATGCTGAGACACCGGGGTGAACTAAGTAGGGGGAGAAACTGATGGTCAAAGTCAGATGTCTTCTACTGAGTAGAGGGGAACACTTGGACGTTGACAAGCACCCCCTGAGGTGTGTCAGTGCTAGGGGAAAGGCCCCAGAGCAAAAGGAGGAACGTGTGAGGCAATCCGCGTGTGCGGAAGGACCACGTGCACCAAAACACTGCCAGCGCGATGGCAAGAAATGCAGAAACCCGATGCAAGGCTCGTGGCCCCAGTAGATCGATGACCAAACAGATAGAGCACGAGAAGAGGGTTTGATAGAGGAAGGGCCAAGCCAACCCCGGTTCAGGTTACTCAAGAATAACAAACAGGACCGTCCCACACTTGTACGGTGCTCGTGAACACTAGTCAGCTGGACAGACTCCTGCTTGATTCGAAGACCCCGAGTTCGCTCAGCCAGGCAGAAGCTCGTTTGAGCTAAGCCAGGACCAGGACGGGAGGACGGTCCAGCTGTCGGGTCGCCATTGTGACAAGCTGACGGCGTTCACACCTTTTTCTACATCTAGGATGGCAAAGTCTTGAAGTGTTTATCTTTTAGAAAGAAACGCCTTGGAATCACCGCGTTTCTGCACAAAAGTAAGCCGTTTCCTTCACCAATTTTTCCATGGAGGCCACCAGTGAGAAGTAGTGAGATGCTGTAGTTCAACTCGTATGCGGTATGTACAAAGTGGCGCTCTGGGTTGAACGATTTGCTTCCCCCCGGGGGACAGGCCTTGTGTAGTTGCCACCAATGTGGTCAAGAAGGACCACGAGTGGAGCAAAAAATAAGGAAGAAGTTCCAGTTCCACACGACCTGAAGAATTAATTGCAGCGTTTTGAGGGGTTCAGGTGAATCAGGACTGACTTCTTCCAATGACAGTAGCTGGACTGGTTTGCCGTACACTAGTCACTAGGCTTTTCATTTCCTGGGCGACCCAGCTGTGAAACTTCAAGGAATCGCTGCAACCATGTACTGCACTTTGAATCCATGATACAATTGTGGCCCTCCCAAGTCATAGATAGTTTCGCCGTTTGCCAACCCATAGACAGTTGTACCTGGCGGTTTGGAAAAGAGTGCGCACAAATTCCAAGATCGTTTCCACAACCTGGAGCAATGCCAAGCTGCGCCTGAGCTGTGTAGCTGGGTTGGGATCTTACTAGATCCATTTGAGCGGAGTTGCAACCTGACCTGGCGAGCCACTGTCAGAATAGGCTATTGGCTCCGGTGCTGTCTCAGACACACCAGACGAAAGATGCAAAGAACACAGGTGCTGTCTCGCTCCGTGGCAGCTGGGAATTTGCAAATCTGCTGGTGGGAATGTCTCCTGGAGTCTTACGGAGTCAAAAGGGTCTCGTTGACCATTTGTTCAGGGACTAAGCATGGCAGGAGAATGATTTCATGTGGCCACCATTTCCACATTGCCAGTGAATCACGCAATTGCTGAAAGGTTGAGAGGGCACAATCCTAACTGCAGTAGCTTGAAGTGAAGGACAAGACACAGAATAACAATCAGCCCACCTCATTTTTTAGAATATGTTATTAATCTACAGTGTTTTTACATTTATTATATCAGCTATATAAATGTGGGAATGAGCGGGGCCCCACACAAAGAATCTAGGCAAGGAGCATGTGCTCCTGCGCTGGTTTTTGCGTAGGACCGATGCATGGAGATTGAAACACGCTACCGTCGATGGATAAGAATCAGAATCCAAAGATTTCCACCAAACACTGTGTGAAAGGAGGTATTTCATTGGATTTAGATGTATTTTGAGTGGTTAGGGGCTGTCCTAATTTCTCCCAAAGTACCGCAACCGATCAACTTCCTTACTTGTTGTTGGCAGCCGAGAAGGCTGCACCCTTTACAAGAAACTACCATTTGTCTTCTGATTGAATTGTTCTAACCCAAAAGCGACCGTGGAAGCATAGACGAAAACGAAAGCTGTCCAAAACGTGAGTTGGATTATTTCTAGTTAAACACTCACCTATAAATGGCCCAGGGTAGTAGCCCTTGACGCCACCCAAAGTGCCCTCGGTTTCTGACACAATTTGATCCTTAAAGACGGAAGGAACAAACTGCTGTGAGTCTTGACAACTTTGAAACAGCTGTGGTCCTCTATGGCATATGGGAATCCTTGAGAGGATCCGCTTTTGTGACAAGCTGCTGTTGTATTCCAGAGATGAATCTTGAATAATAAATATTGAAGCAGATGCTTGATATTTTTGTGCGGCTGCTCATCCTTTTGCAGCAAACATTTGGCAGTGCATTCACAGATCTTTTCAGGATGCTTTGTTGTACTGGGTTCGTGATACCTCCCTGATCAGGCCTAGCTCGGTTCGAAGACCGAGGGCAGCTTGTCATCCAAGTCTGGAAACGACAGGCGTGTGCGTCCATATCTGAGATCAACCTCGAGCAGTAGGAATCAGAATCTTGGGGAAGATTGAGGGATCTGGTCCTGCTCAGCGATGCGATGGTCTTGTTGGATCGCGCTCCAAACACTTACGACCACTTTTCACAAGCGTTAACCCGTTGTTCTCTTCCAAGCATGCCTCATTCAACTACATGATTTGTCACATTCATATCAGTTCACGACATTGGTGTGTTTCCATCACAATGCCCAGTGTATAGTTCTATAGTTTGTTTATCTTTATCCAAGTGTGATGTCTGTATCCATTCATATCCATCGGAGCTTGGCGGAGCCCTGAGGTGAGCGAGACGCCCAGTGTGTCGATGGTCTGCCCGGTGATGCCCAGCATCCCAGCGCTCCGGGGCATGATCATCATCCGACGATGAGGTCGAAGGTGGGATGAGTTGGATGGAGAAGCAGGTTCCAAGAGGCACTGTATAGATGGTTGAACCATTCCTTGATGGTCCAAGTATGTCTGCAGGGGAGTAGCATGAATGGTTGATCAGCTCCTGGCATTTATCATGAAAAGGTTTTGAGATGTCTTGAGCAACTGGATTGAGTTGTGGAGAGAAGCTCCTCCCTTTGGCATTCATGGACCGGTTGGAATGGGTGAATTGGATTTAACTGGATTGGAATGGATGTGGAGTGGAGGGAAGTGAGGGGGGGCATGATGAAATGCTTGGGCTTGGCCAGGTGGGTGTTTTGACAGGACGAATGATGGAAGAGCAGAGGGGATGGAGGGGATGCAGTGGATAGAAGGGATGGAGTTGACGAT